AGGGAGAGGGATAGAGAGTTAGAAACATCGATGAGAGAGAAACATCGACCAGCTGCCTCTTGCACACCCCCCACCGGGGATGTGCCCGCAACCCAGGTACATGCCCTTGACCGGAATCGAACCTGGGACCCTTCAGTCCTCAGGCCAACGCTCTATCCACTGAGCTAAACCAGTCAGGGCCTGGGAGTAAATTTAAACCCAAATTGGCCTGACATGTGTGTGAGGAGACAGAACCCCAAACCTCAGTCACCATGGCAATGCCGTAGCCATTGCACACTTTTGCGGGTGCACACTGCTTTGCGGGTGCACACTGTCTTGCGGGTGCACGCTGTCTTGCGGGTGCACGCTGGCGTGCGGGTGCACACTGTCTTGCGGGTGCACGCTGTCTTGGGGGGGCACGCTGTCTTGCGGGTGCACGCTGTCTTGCCGGTGCACGCTCTCTTGCGGGTGCACGCTGTCTTGCGGGTGCACGCTGGCGTGCGGGTGCACACTGTCTTGCGGGTGCACGCTGTCTTGGGGGGGCACGCTGTCTTGCGGGTGCACGCTGTCTTGCCGGTGCACGCTCTCTTGCGGGTGCACGCTGTCTTGCGGGTGCACGCTGGCGTGCGGGTGCACACTGTCTTGCGGGTGCACGCTGTCTTGGGGGGGCACGCTGTCTTGCGGGTGCACGCTGTCTTGCCGGTGCACGCTCTCTTGCGGGTGCACGCTGTCTTGCGGGTGCACGCTGGCGTGCGGGTGCACACTGTCTTGCGGGTGCACGCTGTCTTGGGGGGGCACGCTGTCTTGCGGGTGCACGCTGTCTTGCCGGTGCACGCTCTCTTGCGGGTGCACGCTGTCTTGCGGGTGCACGCTGGCGTGCGGGTGCACACTGTCTTGCGGGTGCACGCTGTCTTGGGGGGGCACGCTGTCTTGCGGGTGCACGCTGTCTTGCCGGTGCACGCTCTCTTGCGGGTGCACGCTGTCTTGCGGGTGCACGCTGGCGTGCGGGTGCACACTGTCTTGCGGGTGCACGCTGTCTTGGGGGGGCACGCTGTCTTGCGGGTGCACGCTGTCTTGCCGGTGCACGCTCTCTTGCGGGTGCACGCTGTCTTGCGGGTGCACGCTGGCGTGCGGGTGCACACTGTCTTGCGGGTGCACGCTGTCTTGGGGGGGCACGCTGTCTTGCGGGTGCACGCTGTCTTGCCGGTGCACGCTCTCTTGCGGGTGCACGCTGTCTTGCGGGTGCACGCTGGCGTGCGGGTGCACACTGTCTTGCGGGTGCACGCTGTCTTGGGGGGGCACGCTGTCTTGCGGGTGCACGCTGTCTTGCCGGTGCACGCTCTCTTGCGGGTGCACGCTGTCTTGCGGGTGCACGCTGGCGTGCGGGTGCACACTGTCTTGCGGGTGCACGCTGTCTTGGGGGGGCACGCTGTCTTGCGGGTGCACGCTGTCTTGCCGGTGCACGCTCTCTTGCGGGTGCACGCTGTCTTGCGGGTGCACGCTGGCGTGCGGGTGCACACTGTCTTGCGGGTGCACGCTGTCTTGGGGGGGCACGCTGTCTTGCGGGTGCACGTTATCGTACGGGTGCACACTGTCTTGCGGGTGCATGCTGTCTTGCGGGTGCACGCTGTCTTGCCGGTGCATGCTCTCTCTGGGGTGCACGCTGTCTTGCGGGTGCACGCTGTCTTGTGGGTGCACGCTGTTTTGGGGTGCACGTTGTCTTGCGGTGCACACTGTTTTGGGGGTGCGCGCTGTTTTGGGGGTGCGCGCTGTTTTGGGTGCACGCTTTCAGCCCCGTGAAGATGGACGGGGTCACCATTGACTCGCAGCCTCGGGGGACACAGTGGCAGAGCCGAGGCCTGTCTCCCGCTCCAGGCTGAGCGCGTCTGTCCTCCCGTGGGGAGTGAGCTGGGGGCGGGGCTGCCCAGCCACCGTGTCCGGGACCCCCTGTGCCATCCCCTCGCTGAGCCCACCCCCCCATTTCCTGGGCCTCCTGCTCAAGGACTGAGACGGTGGCCCGGGCGGAGGGCCCTGCGCCCGGCCCG